TGGCAAAGCAGATTCCGAATACATTGTGCACGCAGCCTTAACTCGCGGCGCGTCGCTCTCGCTCCTCGGTGCTCCCCGGCGTGCCCCGGGACCCGGGTCCGTCTGCGAGATCTCTATCTCGCTTCACGAGAGAGGTTTCGCTACTCGCTCCGCGTGCCCCGACTCTCATTGAGAGTCAGTCAGTCAGTCAGTCAGTCCGCCGGAGCGACGTGGTTCGCGCGGATCGTTACACATTGCGCGCCGTTCGCAAGCGAGAGAGGAAAGTTCGCGCGCCTCTCTCATTCCCTTTTTCATCCCTTTTTCACCCGCTTTCTTTCTCTCCTTCTCGCTCTTTCTCTTTCTGTTTTACCGATCGAGGAGGTAGACAACCGTGCGTTGAAATCACCGCGGGATCTCCGCCGCGCGGAGGAGACGCGCGTCGCGCGACTGTGTCCCGTGCGCGCGCCCCGTGAAATCTCAAATCCTCCGATTTCACGCGTCGGATCGCCAACGGCACGCCGCACGCACGCCGGCACGTTGTATTATATAGGGAGGCCGAGGCAGCCAGGAACGTTTTACGTTGCTCGTTAACTGCCAGTGCACGCACGGCGGTTGCCGGGGAAGGTCGAAGGGACGGGGTTCCTCACACCGGTGTGCGTGTAATACTTGGTAGCGACGGCGACGGCAACGTCCGCCCTGGCCGCGGCGGCGACGTTGGCCCTGGCTCTTCTCCTGGACGTCGCCGGCGTGGCCCTCGCTCGGCACCAGCATCGCTCCGGGAATCCCGGCCACAAACCGTCCGGTGACATCTCCCTCTGGATCGATCAGCAGCAAATTAAGATGTTCAGCGGTACAGTTTACAGATGTTGAGTCTCAATCCTCTCGCAAGTCGGATTTCTTATTTTCTTCCCCCTCTAGCTAATTCATATATGACCCCCTTTCTTCGTATCATCGCTGCTCCAGCGATCCTCCATTTGAGATATTACCTTTGATAAGTTCGATGCAGAAATCGTTAAATAAATAAATAAAAAAGAGAGAAATCCAATTAGAAATTAACATTAATGTAAAACATTAATGTAAAACTGAAACTATTTTTGGCTAATATACAGGGCTTGCAATGGAAATATACGCGATTGCGGAGGGCCGAGTACTCGCTTATCTTTTGGATCCCGAATTTGAAAATAAACTGCCGATTATCCCAAGCGAGGTGTCACACGTGAATTTCACGTGGAAGTCAGGAGTAAAAAAATACTATTACAATTTTTTTCGTTTAAAATCGTACGACGAGAGCATCTTGAAAACTCCATCGATCACGATCAAAAAGCAAGGACGAGTGCCTAAGAGACCGAAAGGTAAAGATTTATTGTCAGTATCTTAAATATATCGTTTCCTTACGTCAAAAGTGACACAACTAAAAAAAACGTAATTTTGAGTTGTTACTATCTTGGCGAAAAAAATAAAAATTGGAATGTAAGTCGAATACAAGGGGAGAGTATAACAGAAGCGTAAACGAACTTTGTAGAAAGCGAAAATGGAAACAACGAAATGTAAAAAAACCATAAAGTCGTTATTTCAATTTTTGCCTCCTAGAAATTTCATTTACTCTTTTATTACTGTTCCCTTCTTATTTGAATTACGCTCCGATTTTATTTTTGCCAGAGTATGATGTTTTATCGTCGACACACTACCGTGTCTCCAGATAAATTAGGTAAATGTTCCCTATCAATCATTAAAACTCATAGCAAAACTCACTACTGTGCATTTGTGCACATTAAAGCCCATTGTACAGTGACTTAATCTGATTGTGAGTGTAAAAATGGAAATTTCGAATTATAAAATACATAAAAATTAAATGAATAGATGGGTAAAAAAAACGAACAGAGGAAAGATTTTAATTTAAACTAGTATATTATCTCATATTTATTCACAATTGACTAGTATTCGATGTTATAAAAAATCTATCTACTCATTTAATTTTTGTATTTGCAATATCGAGCGTCTTTTCTTATTTTATACATAAATATTTTATCTAACAGCACAATAAAATATATTGAGGAGTATATTTCACGGTTTCTGTATTTATAACATATTTTTACGTCAATTCGTTACGGTAGCTGTGATCTGCGCACTGAATGCATTATTCGAATTCGCTTAACTTAATTTCATAAAAAATCGTCAAAAGATTATAATTAAAAAAAGATGAATTTTTAAGGGTTGTAAAACAAAAATAACAAAATTGACATTTGATCATGTTAACAATATATTCTTTTTGTTGATATTTTGTGACTAGTCAATAATTTTCTGTCAAACTGAATGAAAAATAGTTTTTTCCCTTTTATGGGAAACTTAATCTTTTAAGTTGTGTCACTTTTAAAATAAAGGCGTAATATTTAAACTATTTAATTAATGTGCGAAGAAACTATGTTCTATAAAATAAACGTTTCTCGCATTTTTATGAGAACTCGTGGTTTAACTCGGGTTAAAAAATATTTATATATATATATATAT